TTTTTTAACTGTGATGGGGTCATAATTCACAAAGGAACAGAATTCCTCAATAGCTCTGGACTCTGATTGTTATCATAAAGTTGCAGTCAGGTAAGTGTTTAGTGAGGTAATACCAGTGAGGTGATGTTTAAAAGCCTTAATTCAAGTTCTTTCTATCTGTAACTTACAGTTTGCCTTTGAAGATTTTTGTTTTGTTTTTTGTCATCTTCAAAGTTGAATCTACTACCTCCTCTTTAGGTGTACCAGCTGCTTCAGTCCCAACAGGATGCTGCTGCTCAGATCTCAAAGCAGCAGTGTTGGCAGGACACCCTCATGCGGCTGTATCTAAGGGGCGACGGGTCCTTGGCGCTGCGTAGCTCAGATACTGTCAGCACCTGCAGCCTGGAGCTGAGCCGGACCAGCGGCGGTAGCAACCGTCTGGAGCTGCCGTTGGAGAGGAGGGCACGGGCAGGCAGCGCCGGGCGCTTGGACCGGGTGGAGGATGACCGGATCAGCATAAGTGATACCCGCTCTGTGGACAGCCTGGAGAATGGCGACGTCATCTCGCTGTTGGATACGCCGTCTTCCTCTGCCTCCACTGAGCCGCAGCCCCACGTCAAGCCCTGGGTGGTGGGAAAATCAGGGGGCTTGATGCTGGATTTGTCCCATCTGCAGGCATATGAGGGTGGAGAGAGCGGCAGCCAGACACCTGGGAGCATGCCCAGCACACCCTCACCACTGGAAACCTCGAAGCCTTTCCCAGGGATCTCCGGGGATCGAGACGCAACTTCCTCCCTTACTGAAGACAGCTTCCTGTTTAGTGACAACATCTCGCTGGGGGAGTCTTTCAACAATGTTGAGGTGATCCTTCGAATCTTCTACACAGCTTTGCACTTAATTTAAATTGAACATGTTATGCTTTTGCTTATTTTTCAAATAAAAAAAAAAAACAAGCCCCAGAAAAAAATTAATAAGGAATATTAAACTGGGGATCCTGCAAAGCTGCTAAATCAGGAATAAAAAAAATAGTTATTTTCAAGAAGTCCTCAATTAGTCCATTTTTCACTATTTATTGATATTCCTACAGTCTCTGCATTCAGCATCAGGCCTATTGGCCTCTATTAAAGACATAAGAGACTTTTAAACAGGCTCAGAGATGTTGTGTTTTCATTTTAAGGCTCCAAAATCTTAAGCAAACATTACTCAATCAGGAGAAAATGGTTCCCTTTTTAGGGGCTAGTGTTCAGCGGCTTTAGTGACTGTTAACCGCACAGTGTGTGTGTATTCATTGTAATAAAGGAGCAAATGGTCAGCCTGAGTAACAGTTTTAATATGCCCAGATTTAATTTGTTGTTATGTCTATTCTGTCTTTTTTTAAAAGTGTTGGCTTGGCTTTAGGATTCATTCAAATATTGAGGTACAGGAAGAGAAGATGTTAAACCGGGGGTCTTGCCACACAGTCTGGTCCAGTACATTTTGTTTGTTGCATTTTCTTCATTCTGGTGAAGAAAACACAAAAATCACAAATGCGCACATTTTTGGGGGGACATGTCCCCTGTATCCCTTTTTAAATCTACATCTTTGTACAGAGTGACAGCACAAAGTTTGGCTGCTTGAATCTCCTCCTAAAATTCTCTAAAACAGAATTAAAGAACTGGAGTCACGGTGCAGGAAGCGTCTGTTCCTGCAGAGGAATAGTAATGACGTAAATGCCAACAGATGGTCTCTAAGGTAAACATGCAGTAGTGATGTCAGTCGGTGGAATCTGAGTGCAAACCGTAAATGAAAACCTTCCATCAGTCATGGATCTGATTGTTCGATTGAATCCAATTATTACTTGCAAGTTTTCAAAACAACTGATCTCAACCTGCAGTCTGATGGTATATGGTAGTCAGTATTCTGATGTTAATGCTAGTAAACAGCGTGAGCTTCTGACTCACTGAGGGAAATGTCACTGTCACCTCAGGGTGCCCACCGCTGACTTTTATCTAATAAGCTTTTTTCCATCACTTCAGTGTCTCACTGCAGGGAAGAGCAGAGAGAGACAACCTGTCTCTTCCCACGGCAGGATGCTGTCAGTTAGAGCCTCTAATTTGACATTTTCAAAGTGGTTTATGGAAAAAGAGTCGCTGCTTAATCTTAAGCCTGTTTCACAAACCGCTACTCAGTTTACCCAGAATTCATTGCCCAGTAGTCCTTACATATAATTAATGGCTGAAATACTTTATATATCTATGTGAAGTCCAGTCTATTCTGAACAGCATAAAATTTGGAAACTATCTAATTAATCTGCCATCAAAGGAGGGTCATAGTGAAGCTGTCGGAAGGTTGGAGAAAAGCTTGAAAACATTAAATGGTAAAATAAAAAGTACTCTTTTACGTACGGAGCACAACGTTAAAGCTGCTTAATTCCTGTTCACATTACGTTCTGTTACACTCTCCATTAGATGAATAAAAGGCACTTTATTTAATAATCTAATCTACTGTATTTTTGTGTTCTTAATACATTTTGCTGAAGGCAAATTCTGGAAGCTCATGTGGGGATATTCATCTTTAAAGACATTTAGTGTGTCAGTAAACTACACATATATCTCTGGCTCATGTTGTGATTGTCATTTCCGCTGTGGCCTTTAGTAAACCTGAGTTTGACCCTCCTGATCTAATGACAGCTCTCTCTTTCTTTGGTCTAATGTCGCCCCCTAGCGTGCAGAAGAGGAGCTGTGCAGCATGTTGCTGGAGATCATCCTGTGTGTGATGTGGCGAGGCGTCGAGGGCTCCGATGATTCAGCGTGGCTGGAGCGTGGTCAGGTCTTCTCTGCTCTCACCAAACTGGGAACTGCCAATGAGCTGCTTCTTCCTGTTGACCAAATCAAGCTCAGGTCAGCCTTCTATTTGAGTTTTAACAGTGCTGGGCAAACGTCGAAGCTTAAGAAGTCTTGAATGATCTCCGTGCGCTCTCTTTCTCCTCTAGTCTGATGGAGCGCATGTTGGAGTGGGCGGTGAGCGACAACCGAGAGGCTTCAGCTGCTACGCTACCGCAGCACACCGAGAATGCAGTTCGCCTGCTTCACATGGTGCAAGACTTCCTGCAGGCAGAGGGTCTCATCAACCCAGCACTGTGGACAGAGAAGGTGCTGGAAGAGGCGGTGACGTTGATGGACAGCCTCATGGTGTGGTACTCCTCTGGCTCCCAGTGGTTCCAGCTCTCCCAGGTTGGACTGAGACTGCTCCTGGGCTTCATGGCTCAGGAAGACCCAGAGGTGAACCTTTTTTGTTCAGTGCTCCATCGTCATACTGCATCGCATGCACACACAGTAATAAATAACCTTTGTCCCAGGTGTGTGCCATGGCCACCGCCAAGCTTAACGGCATCCTGCAGACCAAGGAGATTTCCAGCCAGGACGAGGCATGCTACCTGCTAGGGAAGGTGGAGGGAATTCTGCGGCGCTCCATCCAGGAGCAGACCGAGGAGATGTACTCTTTCCTGGTTCCACTGCTGCGAACGCTGCTCTCCAAAGTCCACCGCCTCCTCTACATGGAGCTGCACCTGCCTCAGCTGCCCGACACCAACGGGAGCCCCTCCTTCTTCGACGACTTCAAGCTTTACTGCAACTCACCCGAATGGCGTGTCTACCTCGATAAATATGTAGGAGATTAGAATATAGGTCTGCTGTTGCTTCAGGACAAAAATGAAA